GAGGGGGGGGGGGGGGGGCGCACGAAGAGGTGGGCGATGTGCTGCGCGAGGACCTCGTCGACCCCCGCCTGCGAGAGAGATGGGAGAGATGGGGAGAGAAGGGGAGAGATGGGACCTCGACTACCCCCGCCTTGCGTGGAGTGGCTCACGGCGAGTCAGCACACACACACATGAATAGACCTCTCTGTCCCGTCCTGCCCTTGTCTAGCCTGCGTGAGAGTGAGTCAGCACACACACATGAATAGAGCTCTCTGTCCCGTCCTGCCCTCCCCCGCCTGCGTGAGAGTGCGGTACGCCTCCTCGTCCATCGGGACCTGAGTGCGCAAGGGGGTTGGAGATGGTCCAGGGAAGGGAGGGGATGATGGCACGCCTCCTCCCCCCCTCCCGCGCCTCGAGGTCGTTCCGCCCCAAATCCTTCAAGGCTGCGCGGGTCGACGAGTCCTGCCCGTCCTGCCCGATGACGGTGTTGCAGATGTACGTCGAGATTGTCTCGTACCGTGACTTGTGCAGCCGCTTGGTCCCGTGCCCCGCCATCGCCGCGTGCCCGCCGCCGCCCTCGCCGCCGCCCGCCGCCACGCCCCGCTCCGCCGGCGTGCGGTCGTCGACGGACTGGGCGATGATGTCCCAGCGGACGTCGGTGTCGAGCAGCACGCCTTTGGAACATGTCTCGGACATGTCATGGACGTGTCGTGGACATGTCCCAGCGGACGTCGGTGTCGAGCAGCACACCGCGCGCGATGGGCGTGGCCGCGGTGAGGGCGAGCATGATCGGCCCGAGCACGGCCAGCTGGTCGTAGAGGTGGCGCGACTCGGATAGGTCCCTCGCCTGTGGGGCCGGGGGGAGGGGGGGGGGGGCACGGGTGCCGTCTCTCTTCTAGGGAGGAACCTTCTCGGAAGGGCGCCCCTCGACTGGACAGGGGGCTTGCACGGCAGCAGCTGTGACTACTCATAGCTCTACAGGCGTCTCGCAGCTGTGACTGCGCGTCTAGCGGGGACGGGGCGCGGCCTGGAAGGTGACTTGCAGGCAGCAGCAGCCCATCCCAAAGGCCATCGCGTCCATGTACACCTCGTCCATCTCCAGCGCCTGGGCGCGGGGCGGCCTCGACGTGTCAGCGAGGTGCCGTGGCTCGCCGCGTGTGCGCCTCGCCCTCTTGCGGCGCCTCCTCCAGCGTCGCGGGCGGAGGGCAGCCCACAGGCCTGTTCACACCTCGAGGCGTGAAGCGTCTCTGCCACGGCGGCGTCTCGCGGCGGCGGCGCGCTCCTCGCAGCGTCGGGCGTCTTCTCGTCGCGGTAGCGCGGCACGCGAATGTCCACCTTTGAGCCGCGCCGCCGCTTGATGTTCTTGACGAGCGCCGCGAACCGCGGCGCCGGGTTGATGATCTCGTCGGGGACGAAGAGCGAGTCGGACAGGCCGGGCGTCGGGCGGGCGGGCGGGTCCGTGAAGGTGCCGACGCCCATGAGCGGGAAGCAGGGCAGCGTCGGGCAGATCTCGTCCTCGGCGAGGGCGGCGAGCAGCCGCGCGCGCCGCGTGCGCATGTTCTTCTCAACGAGCAGCAGGTCGGTCGCGTAACCGGAGTACGGCATGCCCGGCGTCCCCTCGACCATCCAGCTGCCCCACTCAGGCACCCAGTTGCACTGCTGCCCGACGGGCACGCTGCGCTCGCCCTCCTGCAGCCCAGCGAGGATCTCGGCCCCACGGAGCGACAGCTTGACCGTGCCGCGCTCGGCGTCGAGCTTGAAGATGGCGTACTCCACCTCGTCGCCCCAGAGCAGCCGGTCACCCTCGATATCCTTGATGCGATTGTAGAGGTGGATGAACTGGGCGATGCCGTGCTCCCGCACGTACCGGATCACCTCGAGAGACTCGTCCCACTCGAGCGGCGTCGCGTCGAGCAGGAAGCCTGAAACGGCGGGGCGGGCTCCATGTCTGCTGTGCCGCATGCTCCGAGCGCGTGTGGGGAGACCAACGCAGGGTGTGGGGGGCAGGAGGTGAGGGCGAAAGGATTCACCCATGTCTCGAGGGGGGTGCGCCGCCCGTGGTCCGCCGTCAAGCCAAGGGAGGCGAGTGTGAAGAAGGTGTTGTCCGCTTGCTGCTGCTGCTGCTGCTGCTGCTGCTGCTGCTGCTGCTGCTGCTGCTGCTGCTCGCTCGCTCGCTTCTCTCTCTCTCTCTCTGTCGCGCGCTCTCTCTCTCTCTCTTCTCTCTCACTCTTCTCTCTCTCTCTCTCTCTCTCTCTCTCTCTCTCTCTCTCTCTGTTTCTTCTGTGAGTGACACATCTCTCTCTCTTCTCTCTCTCTCTCTCTAAAGAAAGAAAGAAAGAAAACACTGCTGCACTTGGGGTGGGACGACGGGGGTAGACCGTGCTGTTGCTGTGAACAGCTGGGGCACGCGCCTTATCTGGCCCGGCCCCTTGGGGACTTGCGGCTCGGATGCGACCTCTAACCGCGGGTCGCAGACCGTGCTCTCGGTGTCCGATGACATGGCGCCTCTTCACGATCAGCACGCCAGTCTGTTCACACCTCTCTTCCGTTCACTTCACGGAGTGACAGGGGTTCGTTACCCAGTTTAAGAAAGGCTTCAAGAAAACACACACACAGAAAAACACCCTCATTTACGAACGACCGGAGCCAGCGCGCTTGTGGCTTCCACTCACAAGCACGCTTTTCCACGTCTCCGTCCCCGCTCTACCTAAGGCTTGCCGCTCGAACCAATGGCGGTGGGGACGGAGGTGTCGCCTCCGTCCCCGCCGTGGAGGCAGCGCCTCTCTCCCCGCTCGACCTATAGCGGTCGGCGGACTCGAGTTCGAGTGGGGACGGCGGCTCATATTGCTAAATATAAAATTCCCCCACCCGGGTGGGGGAACATAAAAATACCTCAGGGTGCTGTGCGGGTGTGAATGCAAGAGCGCTGCGCTGAGAACGAGCAGCTCACCCCCTCAGTGGCTAGTTGGTGTACGCGGCGCGTTCCTGCTGTACATCCTAGCCGCTGCACATGCTTGGCTCGTTCCTGGCCATCTTCATGCATGCATCTGCTGGTACGGTGACGCAACCTCCGTCTGCTCACCACCTCAATCACGTGGGTGGGCGTCGGCGAGTGGTCACCCGGCGCTACGACACGACGAATGCGCGCAGAGGGTGAAAGACAGCCGCTGTCAGTGGCTTCGTGAAAAGGTCGGCCACTTGTCCCTGCGTTCGGATGTGGGTGAGCCTAACGCGCTTCGTATCCTTCACTTGCTCGCGCAGGAAGGCGATCTGAGTCGCCACATGTCGCATGCGTTTCGAGGAGGTGTTGCCCTCGCTAAGGAGCACGGCCGCCCTATTGTCGCAGAAGAGCGGCATTGTGCATCCGAGGTCCGACTTATTGCCCTTGTAGTCGGGTAGGTCCTCGGCCATGAACTTGATGGTGTCCGAGACCGCGATGGCCGCTTGTGTGGCCTTGGTCGCAATGGCATACTCGCCTTCGGACGATGAGGTGGGCGTGGACTTAAGGCGTCCAGCGTGTGCAGTACCCAGTTTAAGAAAGGCTTCAAGAAAACACACACACAGAAAAACACCCTCATTTACGAACGACCGGAGCCAGCGCGCTTGTGGCTTCCACTCACAAGCACGCTTTTCCACGTCTCCGTCCCCGCTCTACCTAAGGCTTGCCGCTCGAACCAATGGCGGTGGGGACGGAGGTGTCGCCTCCGTCCCCGCCGTGGAGGCAGCGCCTCTCTCCCCGCTCGACCTATAGCGGTCGGCGGACTCGAGTTCGAGTGGGGACGGCGGCTCATATTGCTAAATATAAAATTCCCCCACCCGGGTGGGGGAACATAAAAATACCTCAGGGTGCTGTGCGGGTGTGAATGCAAGAGCGCTGCGCTGAGAACGAGCAGAAACAGACAACCCAAGGGAGGGATGGGAGGACGGCACGCCGCCACCACACAGGGATTTTTAAGGAGAGGTGTGTGGTGCGCTAGCCGTCCCCTCTTCGCTCGCCTGCTCACGAAATAAAAAATCAACCCGACAGGCTTGAGGAGGAGCCGTGCGGACAGTCTCAACCTTGCTAGCATTGTCGCTCTCGATGCTGAGCAAGCTCTGGGGCTGCAGGCCGCGTCGCGCGGGCCCGCACGACGAGATCCTGGCGCTACGGGCTGACAACGCCAAGCTTCGTGCGCTGCTGCAGAGCCTGACCGGCGCCGAGGGCCTCGCGTCAAACACGATCGACACGCCTCCCAGTCGCCAGTCCCTTGTTTCCGACCGGCGGGCGAGCACGACGGCGGCCTGCCCGGCGGCCACTCTCACCTTTCCCGAGACGAGCGCGCTTCCCCTTCCTCCGCTCATCACCGACGTGTGCAGCGGCTGCGATGGGCGCTCGGTTAACAACGTGTACGTGCTGGAGCAGCTGCACTCGCGCTCGGGCGCGGCGAACGGCGAGCGGGCGCGCAGCGCAGCGTGCCGGATCCGCGACCCCGACTACACGCTGCGCCACTTCCACGATGACGTCGCCGCCGCCTTCCCCGAGCTCGGGTGGTACATGGTCATCCGCGAGCACACCTCCTCAAACACCTTGCCGGAGACCGAGTACCGGAGGACGATCGGCGCGCTCTTCGCCGTGTACTGGCTCGCGCGGATCGGCATCGACGGCGAGCGCGGCTTCTGCTTCGGCGTGGACGCCGACTGGCGCCCCAACGGTCCGCCGCCCATCGCCTCGCCCCCGGCCGGCTCTCGGTTCGGGCTGCTGAGCGGCGAGCAGAAGCGGCTCGCCTTCTACGAGAGCACGCCGTGGGCGGAGCTGGAGCGGCTGATGGTGGACGCGGGGGTGCTGCGGCGCGGGGCCGACGGCGCCGTCGGCGTGAGCGCGGACCGGATGGCTGCGCTCCTCGTGCAGACAGCGATCCACGACATCATGAAGGCGCGCCGCCCCCCCCTCCCCCCCCCTCCCGCTCCCCCCCCCCCCCCCCTTCCCCCTTCCCGGACCAGACGTGCGAGCCCCGCACCGCAGGTGGACCTGATGCGCCCGTCGGTCAGCCCCGAGCACGCACCCTACCTCGGCTTCGGGGCCGGCGACACAATCTCCGACCACGACGTCGCACTCGGGCGCGCGACTCACCCCTCCCGCACCCTCCTATCCCTCCCGCACACTCCTACCCCGCACCTCCTCACCCCTCCCGCCTCCCTCCTGCCCTCCCGCCCCTCTCCCTCCTCTGACCCCGCCCCGCCTCTGACCCCGCCTCTCCCCTCCCTCCCCCTCTCCCTCTCCCTCTCCCTCCAGGTACGTCCTCGAGCACCACGGCCACCTCCTCCCCTCCTTCCAGCTCGTCACGCACCAGCTGCAGCGCGCCATCCGCTTCACGCAAGCAAAGATCCGGTTCAACAACGGCTGGCTCGTGCAGGCCGAGGCGCCGCCCGCCGCCGTCTTCTCCCACTTCAAGGCCTGCATCCGCTCCAACGCCATCAACTCGGCCGACATCGCCTTTTACTTTGCGCACTGGCTCACGGACCTAGCCGGGGCCGAGCCCACGCCGCTGCGCGGCTCGGAAAAGTTCTGCCTCCGCTTCCCGCACGGCGCGGGCCCGCCCTCCGCCCCCTCGCCCCCTCCGCCCCCTCCGCCCTCGCCCCCTCCGCCCTCGCCCCCTCGCCCCCTCCACCCCCTCCGCCCCCTCCGCCCCCTCCGCCCTCGCCCCCTCCGCCCCCTCCGCCCCCTCCGCCCCCTCCGCCCCCTCCGCCCTCGCCCCCTCCGCCCCCTCCGCCCCCTCGCCCCCTCGCCCCCTCGCCCCCTCGCCCCCTCGCCCCCTCGCCCCCTCGCCCGTGCGCGACGCTGTCCCTCCCTCCCTCCCCTCGCCCCCCACCCCCTCGCCTCGCCTCGTCCCAGGCGTCCTCGCCTCCTTCATCGAGTCCTTCCCCATCGTCGGCCAGCTCGCCCAGCAGAGCGAGACCGAGGTCTTCGAGGGGTACCTGAGGCAGCGCTGGAGGGACGCGCCGCGCGCGCTCGGCCCCGAGCCGCGCGGGCCGCACGCGGTCGCCCTCTGCCGCCTCATCGTGCAGGCGCAGCACGAGGCTGCGCAGAAGGGCGTCTTCGAGGCCTTTTGGCGGCTGCAGGAGGCGGACCGCGCGGTGAGAGACAGCCGAGAGAGAGCCGAGAGAGAGATAGCCGAGAGATAGCCGAGAGATAGCCGAGAGATGGCCGAGAGAGAGCCGAGAGATGGCCGAGAGATGGCCGAGAGATGGCCGAGAGATGGCCGAGAGATAGGAGCAAGAGGGGGGCCGCGCGGTGAGGGTTTGCCGCGCGCACCCCGCAGCCCCGCACCGTCCGCACGGTCCCTATCGCGTGCAGGTGCTCGAGCTCGAGATGGCGCAGACGGGGCTCCCGCAGCAGACCTACTCGCTCGCGCGCGGCTGCCCGAAGCTCGGCCCCGCCTTCCTCATCTACTACTCGCCCGCGCTGCTGCAGACGCTCGGCGCAGAGCACGGCGAGGTGGCGCTGCGCATCCTGGCGGAGATCTACCGCCAGGCGCGCGCCATCTGGCCCGACGACGGCGGAAGCGGCTCGGGCTGCAGCACGGTCACTTTGCGGATCGATGTCCTCAAGGACAGGACGGTGGAGGCGATCCAGCAGGTCTACACGTACGGCGAGGGCTGGTTCCTGACCAAGCTCAACGACCAGGAGGGCGTCATCGAGAAGCGATCGCTCGGGGAGGGCGACGCGTCGCGCCACGGGTACGCGAGCGTCCATCGGAGATTACTGGAGCTCTGGCGCACATTCAGGGACGAGTGAGGAGTGAGGGGAGAGGTGCGGCAGCGATTCGTGGGGGGGGCGCTTACCATGGTGGAGAGTGTGTGTACAACTTGTCACTCAGAGATCCAAGCACTTTCTCCCTTGAGCCTTGTAGCGACTTACACTTTTTTATATGTGCTACTCGTCTCCTCCGACGTTGTCGGATATACTTTTGTGCCGCGACTACCGTCTCTCCCGGGGTTCCTACCGCGCGCTACGGCTTTAAGTAAGGTGTATGCTGTATCGGTGCGGAGGGTCGGCTGTGATATGTCTCGGGCGGACTCGTCCCCACGCGCGGGACCCGGCACGCGCCACCGCCTGCCGCGGGCTACACCCAGCACCTAGCGGCCGGCTCTCCGTCCTCCCCCGGGGACCTCGCCCGCGGGCTCGTGCAGCGAGCGGTTCGTGTTGACTTGGAGCACTTGGAGTGCAGTCGGCCACCTCACATCCAGGGCCGGGGAGCTGAGAAGCGCACCCAGCGGGCCGGATGATCGGGATCGGGTTGCGGGCAAGAGAGCCCTAGCCCTGGGGGGTGCGCGTTCGCAGGGAAAGGGCCGTAAAGTAAACACGGGTCTCCGAGAGGGCTCCGTGTACCGGGTTTCCCCTTAACTGCAGAACGCCCCCTACTCGGAGCTAGTGGACACGGACACTACGACACCCCCCGTCACGTACACACGCGACTGCCTAACGTGCACTTTTGCCCGGCTGCGCGGCGGTTCCCCGGCGCGGGGGGCCTCGCCCCCCCACCCATCAGGGTGAATCTTCGGCCTGGTTCGGTCTCTTGCTCGCTTTTCGGGCGTCGCCCCACTGCCTCTGCAGTCGTTTTTGATGTCTCTTCTTCGGAGGCGGCCCCTCCGCCCCACCTCCGTCGGCTAGCCCCATTGGCCCCGAGGGAGCCGACAGCCCGGGTGGGGCCACCCTGGGCGAGGGCGGCGGCATTGTGTCGAGTAGAGTGCTCTTCAACAACAACAACAACACACGGCAGAGAGAGGATTTCCGCATGGGAAGGGCAGGGGAGAGCAAGAAACGACGAGCGAGGCCGGCAGCACTGCGGGGCCACCCTGCCAACCAGCCCCCGAACCGTCCCGCAGCTCACAGACCAGCCAGCAGACCGCCAGGAGCAGCACAACCGCCTCCCCGCGCCCCCCCTCCTCCTCCCTTCCCCTCTACCTAAGAAAAGAATTAGATATTCTTACCTTCTTGCCCCCTCCGAGACTGGAGACAGTCACCACAGATACTATACGTCTGTGGGAGTGCCCCCCGCCCCCGCTTGCCTTGCCCTGCCTGCGCAGGATAGCGTGCCCCGATAGCGGCGACACATAGCGAGGGACACTGCGCAAGGAGGGGGTGCGTCGACTTTTTTTTGTCCTCTCGGGGGAATGTTCTCTCGGCGCCCATGGCCTTCTGAGGTTTCGTACTAATGACGTCCTTCTTGGCACTTCGGGCGTCGGTGTGTGCGTATCTGTGGTGTCTAATTCCCCCGGTATGCTTATAGGTTTCGAACGGCGACCTCTCTCTCACTCAGCGATTTCATGCTGGATACCTTTCCGCAAGCGGAAGGTCGCCAGTTCGAAACCTGCTTTGACCCTTATATTTTTTCTCACCTGAGCGGGCTCAATTTTTGCTCTAGGTGCCTCCTACGATTCGATCCAGCGTTCTCAGGCAGTCGCCTGGTGCGTTGTTCGTTTTCGTCACGGGAGCTCCCCTCTACCTAAGAGCACTCGCCACGCGATGCGGTCGCGCCCCATATTTCCCCTGTCGGCGCGAGATACGTATGGGCCTATCGGTCTGGCCGTACCTTGAGCCCCTATCCAGACTGGAGTCTGCACACTTAGGGACCCGCTGCCGTGCGGCCGATGAACATTGTGCCAGAGCCCCACGCCTGCCAACGCCGTTGTGACGGCGCGACACAGGTGGAGGGGCTTGCCCTGCGTTGCCATGGACTGGGTTGGACAGACTGATCCTACGATTCTTTCCCTGTGTTAGTGCCAGTGCGCGCCAGTCCCGTGCCCAGTGTAAAAGAAAGAAAGAAAGAAAACAGACAACCCAAGGGAGGGATGGGACGCGGCCACCACACAGGGATTTTAAGGAGAGGAGTGTGGTGCTAGCCGTCGCCCACCCTCGGGCGTCTACCACTTCCTATCTCTCTTCGCAGTTTCTCACCAATTCTCGCAGCGACCTTCATGCCACCTCTCGTTCTTCTGGTAGATGAACTCGCACAGCGGGATGGCCGGGATAGAGACGGCGATGGCCAACATGACAAACAGGTTCAGACACGCCGCAAACTCCGCCTCCGTCTTGACATAGGCAATGGTAGCCTTGGTGCCGCCTCCCTTTCCGGTCACGGTGGTGACGTCTGCGCGATCGCAGCTCTCACCCCGACTGATGAACGTGGAGACATTCGCCCAGAGCAGCGACATGGAACCGGTGACGCTCGTCCCCTCTGGTCCACTGAGGCCGTCAGACTCGGTCGCTGAAGTGACATATTTGAAGCCCCCTTTCAGGTAGTCCGTCCACTTTTCTTTCTCCCTCTCGAGCAGCGCCTTTGCGGCGTCGTCCCCCGCCGTGTCGATCGCCTGGTCAATCTCTTCGATCACTTGCTGGATCTGTGTCGCCGCGTCAATCTGGGAGATTCTCCCAGTTTGCATTGCCGCCGTCACCTCGGATGGTTTTGTGGTCCGCTTGATCTCGAAAGTCGTGCCCTTCTCGGGTTGGCGGTGCAGGGCTACAAAGCGCTGCAGCATTCCCCCTCCCAGGACCCGCAGGAACCGTGGTCGGAGCAGGTTCGCGATGGTCATGGTGCTCACCGCCGCCGTGCCGAGGAGCACTTTCGCGTTGTTAGCCACGACAGTGGCGGCGGGGCAAGTATGGGAGGTGTCGTAGTCGCACGACGCGAGGTTGCCGCCGCACGTCGGGCACACAGCATCTGCTGCTGCAACCAGGAACGTGAGGAAGAACAAGAGGCTCCCGATAAATGCCCGGCGCGATTGGCCCACATACCGTGGGATGAGCAGGGACAGGTAGTCGCTGCCCCTGGTGGTCGAGGGTCGCGACCCCCCCTTCTTGTCGCCCGTGGTGTGGTGCTCACCCCCACCTGTCAGCAACAGAACGTAGGCCGTGGTCACAATGAGCGCGGGCAGGACGAACTCGAGAATCGCCCTGGGGTACTTGGAGGGGCTGGTGGCGGTGAGAGCTGCGCTCATGACGCAGCCGGAGGCCCCGCCAACCGTAATGGGTAGGCTGAGTTGGTCTGACTCCATGGTGAGGTTGTTGCCAACTAGCCCCGGAAAGCCTTGCATCAACACGAGGCAAAGGGCACCGACTGCGGGCCACGAGGCAAAGCCTCGGCCCCACGAAGGCCAGCCCATGTCCCAGACCATAGCTCCCGCGTTCCCGTCGGGCTCCAAAGCAGGCATAGCACAAGCCGCCGCCAGGCGCGCTTGCGAAACACCGACGGCAAACGTAAATTCGTAGGCGCCCGACGGAATTAATCCCGATTAGGCGCCCGCGACACACTGAATACCCCGGGCGGGCCTCCGCTCCGGGGCTGCTCTATCTCCATTGTCTGCACGCAACCATGGTTATGCCCTTCACACCCCCAGCCCTCGTGTCACCGTTGTCCAACACCTTTTGGGTGTCACACTGCACAGCTCTTCACAACGAACCTCTCTATCTCTGCGGCGCTGACACACGCGAGTGAGTGACTCCTCCCTTGACGCCTGCGTGGACCTGAACGCGGCGCGCGATCTACCCTTCATGTCCCCAGCGGGTGCGCTAGTAGCCGACGGCGAGGCGGCCTGCGAGGGCAGCGAGAAGGCGGCGAGGAGCCTGCTCGCCGCGCCGTGCGCGGCTTGCAACACCGTCAACGAGGTGGCCATCCCTGTGGATGGGGGGCGCTCGTTCACCGTCAAATGCTACTCGTGCGCCGCGCTCAACCGCCTGACGGTCGACACCGGCGGCGGTCCCATCGTGGCTGCGCGCACGCCGAGCGACTGGCGCGACAGTGGCGGCGACGGCGATTCGGCTAGCGCCAGGCAGCAGCAGGCGGCGCAGCCGCGGGGCTCCGCGTCTGAGCTGCTGGCGGCAGGGCTAGCGAGTGTGCCGCTGAAGAAGCGGGCAAAGTCTGCGCTGGCCCTCTCCCTCGCTGCCGGCTCGGAGGCTGCCGCCAAGCGAAAGGGCGGGCAGTCGGCCGCACCAGCAGACCGGCAGGCGCCTCCTCCCGCCCCGGCGCCGGCACCTCCACCGCCACAGCCGGCCCGGACGTCGTCGGCGAGCAAGAAGGTGGTTGTGCGGACGGGGCACGACGTGGTCGCGCTCTTCCATGACGGCTACTTTTACGGCGGCACCGTCGACGACGCGAAGATGAGCGACTCGGCCGGCGGCCCGGCGGGCGGTAGCGGGAGAGGCGAGGGCGCGCCTCGGTGCATTGGTCGGGGGAGGGGCGGCTCCGCGTCACGCCCTCGGCGCCGTTCCCTAGGCGCCTCCTTCCTCGTGGGGTGGGACGACGGTGCTCGCCTCTCGTGCGGGAGTCGGGCGGCGCACCCCTCGCCCTCAGAGCCTTGCACGCGCTTGCTGCAGGCGACGACCCCTCGTGGGTGGAAGCGCACAACGTGGCGCTCGTCTCGCGCGTGCCTCCGCTCTGCGAGATGGCGAGCGGCACGCGGGTGAGGCCTCACGCCCACGCCCACGCCGTTTTGCCCGCCGCGTCACGGGGCGGGGCAGCACGGCTCTTGCCGGTGACCGCTCCTGTGGTGACCCCTCGTGTGCTCGTGCCTTCCGCGCAGGTGCTCGCCCTGTGGCAGGGCTCGGTCACTGTGGAGGTGCGGCGGGAGGGGGGCGGGCGGAGGGAAAGGAGTGGCGGTGCGGAGATCGGCCTCCCCCTCCCGCCCCCCCTCCTCCTTGCGCCCCTGTGCAGGACAACGACTCGGAGGAGGAGGTCTGGTTCGCGGCCGAGGTGGTCGGAGAAGGGCGCGGCGCGGAGGAGCTCTCGCTGCGCTGGA